CCTGGCGACCTGCCTCTAGCGCTGACCTGGCGACCTGCATCCACCATCGATTTGGCGACCTGCCTCTAGCGTCGACCTGGCGACCTACGAGACGTGCTCGCCGTCAATTTCTGCATGCATCCCATCACTCTCGGGTCTCTCGGAAGTCAGCTCTCACACTGAATGTTTTGGGAGAAACCGAGTAAGGCGCAGAGATTGGCCTACGTGCACGACTACCTCCGAGGACTTCAGAGCAGTTAGGCACTTCCTCCCGGAGATCCCGAACGTGTTGCGTGATGCTCACGCCAAACAATGCCTATATAAAGGCCTTACCTCCAACCCCAGGAGGGAGAGGCGCAATTTAGTTCTCACAGCTCTCCAGCTCTCTCACATTTAGCTATCTTAAAATCTCTGATTCACTAACTTAAGCATCGGAGTGCCCACCCCTGGTAAAGCAACCTGGGCACTCTGACACTGTGTCCTTGCAGGTCGCATCAGAGCCACCTCTCCAGCTCGTCACCACTCAGTTAGACATCAGAGTCACTTCTCCAACTCGTCACCATTCAGTTAGGCATTAGAGCCACCTTAACAGCTCGTCACCATTCATTTAGGCGTCAGAGCCACCTCTCCAGCTCGTCACCATTCTGCTAGGCATCCAAGCCACCTTTCATGTAGGAACCATTCAGCCAGGCATCCAAGCCACATTCCAGGTAGGGATTATTCAGCCAGGCATCCGAGTCACCTGCCAGCCGGGAGCTGTCTAAATGCGCTTCATCAATTGGCGTTGTCTGTGGGAAACGCTACAAAAGGCTATTTTCTCACCCAATTCTCTGAGCCTCAAGTAATAACATCTTCAAGCAACAACAATAGCGCTTGATCGAAAGAACCCCCTAGGGTGGCAGAAGCAAAATGATTAGCCCAGACGAGTTCTCGCAGTCTTGCTCTGACAGAATCTCCCTAATTGTGAGGTCACCCCCATATGTCAAGCTCTATGTGCTCTCTGCGAGAGCTGACGACCAATAGAATGTGAGGCCACCCCACAGGTTGAGCCCTCCTTGGTTCCCGTGGGAGTTGATAGCCAACAAATTGTGAGGTCGCGCCGTAGATCGAGCCTTCCATGCTTTACGTGTGAGTTGATGGCCAGCAGGTTGTGGAGCCGCCCTTGCAGGTCAGTCCTGCGGAGGTGACGAGGTGTCTGTAGGCTGAGGTGCTGAGAGCAAAACTAGACTGTCAAAATTCTGACAACCTGGCGACCTAGAGAACTGCCTCCAAACTGGCGACTTGCTTCTACTGACCTGGCGGCACACGTAATCAGCCTGGATGAGCCTTGTCAGTCCTTTTCGCGAGGTCGCCCCTATAGGTCGAGCCCTTTGTGGCTCCCGCAAGAGTCGGCGGCCAACAGACTACAAGCGCCTTGCGGGTTGAGTAGACTTGTTCATGGGTCGGGCCGGGCCGGGCTTTCACTTGTCACTAATGAAAATATACTAGGCCCGAGCCCGAGCTCGGCCCGACCAACGGGCCTATAACTTGGGCCTGAGCCCGGCCCTGGTAAAAAGCCCGAAACCCAAGCCCGAGCCCGAAGCCCGACCTAATTGAAAAAGAAAACAATTTTCCCTATTCAAATTAGAATTAAAAATTCAGATAGTATTTTTTTTTCTATTTAAATGAACAAATGGGCCTACAAGATGGTATTTTTCCCTTTCTTTTATATTTTAAACCACAATTTTACATTCTTAAATCAAAAAAATTATTCAAATGGACATAATCACATAACTAATTTTAAGTTTAATAYTAGGTCGGGYCGRGSCGGRCTCRGGCCGGGCTATTTTGACAAAACTCGAGCCCGGCTTGAATTTATTGCGGGTTGGGCTTTTTGGCCCAACTTTAAGCCCGTGGGCCTATAAGCATGTTCAAGCCCGTCCGGGGGTCGAGGTCGGGCCGGGCTGGGCTGGCCCGTCGGACCACCCGACCCATGAACAGGTCTAGGGTTGAGCCTTTCAAGGTTCCCATGCGAACTGGCAACTTGCAGTTTTTAAAGCTGCCCCCGCAGGTTGAGCACCTTGTGGCTTATCTTAGGAGTAGACGACCAGCACCTTAAAGGACTGATACAGCACAGCCGTGGCACCGACCCACTCTTTAAATTCCAACACCGATGCACATATCACAAGGGGAAGCCAAACTGCCTTCGGCGTCAAGGACCTCTATGCCGACCTCAAAATATGTTGGTAACAGGCCTAAGGACCTACAACGAAGCACAAATCTACTCCCTTCGCTGAGCTGATCTCAGCTCGGGAGTGGGGGGTAATTGATGAGGGCAGATTTGGCCCTCCACTAACATCACGACACATGGCATCTCGGAACAATTGGATGACACCTAGAACCACCTAGGCGACAACTTGCCTTAGCCAAAATGGAGTCCCAGCTAGCGACCTGGCACTGTTGCCAACCTGGCGACCTGCCTCTGGTGTCGACCTGGCGACATGCCTCTGGTGCTGACTTGGCGACCTGCCTCTAGCACCGACCTAGTGACCTGCCTCTAGCGCCAACTTGGCGACCTACGAGACATGCTCGCCGTCGATTTCTGCATGCATCCCATCACTCCCGAGTCTCTCGGAAGTCAGCTCTCACACCGAATGTTTTGGGAGAAACCGAGTAAGGCGTTGAGATTGGCCTATGTGCACGACTACCTCCGAGGACTTCGGAGTAGTAAGGCACGCCCTCCCAAGGATCCTGGACATGTTTCGTGATGGTCACGCCAAACAATGCATATATAAAGGCCTTACCTCCAACCCCAGGGGGGAGAGGTGCAATTTAGTTCTCGCAGCTCTCTAGCTCTCTCACATTTAGCTATCTTAAAATCTTTGATTCTATAACTTTAGCATCGGAGTGCCCACCCCGGGTAAAGCAACTCGGGCACTCTGACGCTGTGTCCTTGCATGTCGCATCAAAGCCACCTCTCCAGCTCGTCACCACTCAGCTAGACATCAGAGCCACATCTCTGACTCGTCACCATTCAGTTAGGCGTTAGAGCCACCTCTCCAGCTCGTCACCATTCAGTTAGGCATCAGAGCCACCTCTCCAGCTTGTCACCATTCAGCTAGGCGTCCAAGCCACCTTTCAAGTAAGAACCATTCAGCTAGGCATCCAAGCCACATTCTAGGTAGGGATTATTTAGCCAGGCATCCGAGTCACCTGCCAGCCGGGAGCTGCCGAAATGCGCTTCATCAGGAGGGACCCTCTTTTACTACTATGTCATTTATGGAGGGAAAGTAAGTGTCAGAATCTCAATCTATTGCTGAAGTTCTTCCTGCCTCTGTAGTCTGTATACAGCATCCACTGAACCTTTGTAGCAAGCATGCTGTAGGACCTTATGACTAACTGTGCTGTGGACACAATGGGGGAATTTCTTCAATGGGTTGGTTTTGGAGGGCATTTGATGGATGGATACGAGTACCTGACCTCCAGTAGAAAATTGCTGAAGTTCTTCCTGCCTCTGTAGTCTGTATACAGCATCCACTGAACCTTTGTAGCAAGCATGCTGTAGGACCTTATGACTAACTGTGCTGTGGACACAATGGGGGAATTTCTTCAATGGGTTGGTTTTGGAGGGCATTTGATGGATGGATACGAGTACCTGACCTCCAGTAGAAAATATCTTCGGTTGTAACCATGTATACTCATTTTTCTTAATCAATGAGAACCATTTCCAAGTGACACAACAAATGCATATCCCTTCATACCATAGTTACCTAACCATGATCAGTTCACAAGTCTGCTCCCTTGGGTTCCCCATTATGATGAATATCTCCTAGTAAGTAGGCAAATATATCTTTCCTTATAAATGGGTCAATTATCCATTCAAAATGCCCCTCTTATTTCTCCTTCTAAGTAAAAAAATTGGTATTCATAACTTTGTTATTAGATAGTGTCTTAATAGAGCTACTCTGGCCACTTTTTTCTTGAGATTTACCTCATTTTAGTTATCTCTGTTTGCAATTTTGGAATTGATTTTTTTTAATTGAACCTTAAGGGAACTTTGAATGCCTAGTTCATGAAAGAT